TTATGGCGGGCCATCGCGTTCAAAATTAGATATCATGATATCTCTATGATATCTTTAAGTTATCACGATATCATGTTATCATGATATCTTCACAGCATTAGATATCAGGATATAAAAACTAACCGCAAGCAAATTTAACTAATTAACCGCAACAAGACATTGCATTCGGCATTTGGCGTTCGGCGTTCTACAAATTACCCCTGCCGCTTTTAGCAGCTTTGACAGCACGGCTTTTTTAAATAGATGTTTTGGTTTTTGAAAGAAGTAGAGAAATAGACCGGAAAAAAGAAAAATCGACCGACGTCGTATCGAACCGGTGTCACAACAAAACAGACCCGAATCTGGCCCGTTCAGCGCCTTATTCGCTTGCGCTAACGAAGCGTCAGGAAGAAATTAGGGTAATTATATGAATAACAAAACTTGTATCAATTCGAACAACTAGCGGCAAATGCCAGGCTTCGGTGACTTCATCGTTTAGCGAAACAAAGGTTTCTTTTGTTTTTCGTTCGGCAAAAGATCTCCAAAAGATGCCCTTGGAAAACTGAGTTTTTTTTGCATATCTCGAAAACAAAGCGCAAATCAACAAAAACAATTACGGAACGATGTTTTCACGTCAAAACAAGTCAGTCTGCCAAAAATTAGCTCGATCCTGCAAAAATGAAAATCGGTCCAAAAAGCGATATACGCCCTTTTTGCACGAAATCCTTCAATTGATATGAGCTCTATTGCTAAAGTACAGTGAGCCTTCGCTTTATCGATCGACGCGTCATTATTTTCACCCGTTTTTGTGGTCTTATGCAAGACCACTAAGTTTAAGAGGCCGATCTTGAGTGCCAGTCAGTCAGTCACTTTGAGGACAAGATGACATCTCCAGGAGTATAAATAGTACGACAGGTAAACTGTGAACAAGTAATTGCGAGTCATTGTTTTCGAGTTGTGTAGCGTTGCCGTCGTGTGATTGCAGCCGTTTTACCTGTTTTGTGAAAATTTTGAAGAACTTTCTGTTGAAAATTAGTTGTAGTTGATTGGTATACAACAAAAGTGGTTGTATAATTCGATCCATCGATCGGGTTTTAACCGAAACTTTGCCAAAAATTACGTGCGAGGGTTTCACTCGAGAAGTGCTTTTCTTCCGCGAAGAATTATTTCAAATTTCCATATCGTCTCATTTTTATTTACTTGTACGTTTATTGCTTGAACATTTTCATTTTCCGTTAAGCAAACCATTCAGGAACCCTGTCTATCAGTCAGAGACGAGGAATAACATCACTAATTCCTAAAAAAGATAAGAACACTTCATTATTTGAAAACTTGAGACCAATTTCACTACTAAACGTTGATTACAAGATCCTTACAAAGGTAATTGCTAAAAGACTGGAGAAGGTACCGCCGAAAATTATAAACCCTGATCAAACCGGTTACGTGAAAGGCCGCTATATTGGTGAGAATGTGAGACTCATTCAGGACATCATGTTTTATACAAAACGCACGAATGTCCCCGGAATTGCGATCTTTCTTGATTTTCGAAAGGCTTTTGACTCAATAGAATGGGAGTACTTAAAAGCTGAAGGCTCTTGACTTTGGACCAAACCTCTTAAAATTAATGGATAGATGTTTTATACAATGAAGGTTCTAGTTGTGTAATAAACAATGGCCACGCATTTACTTTCTTTCGTCTACAACGCGGTGTTATACAAGGCTGTACTCTGTCCGGCCTGCTATTTATAATTGGCATTGAACTTTTCGCAAGAACTCTTAAAAAAGATCACTCCAATAAAGGA